GGGGGGGGGGGGGCGGTAAGGACTTCAGAGAAAGACGAAATAGCCAGGCTTGGAGGCTGCTGTCCATGCGGACAAAGGTCAGGTTCCTGCTCGTCTCCCTTCGCTGACCAGTGGAGAGGCCCTGAGACCCAGGTCGGGGCCCCCTCCCCCCGTCATGGTGCTGCCTGGAGCAGCAGCCACATTTGGTGAGAGATTCCGGGCAGAACGGAAGCCCACCGCAAGTCTGGCGCAAAGAGCTCCATCCTAATTTCTGCAACTTCTTGTGGTCTGAGATTTTCAAATAGAACATGTTCTAAGTGAATAAAAAAGGTATTTTAATGAGACCAAAGACACGTGGGTGAGCCGGCGAGTTTCGGATAAGGGTGGGATCCCGGGCAGACCCTCTCCTGTCCACCCCGCACTGTCCCCGCGGGTCTAAGCTGACGGTTTCTGCCGGTCCGTTCCTCACACTCGGCCTCCGTGACTCATGGGCTCACGCCCGTGGACGAGTCTCACCCACAGATCTTCGCAGACCACCCTCCTCGGCCCGAGGCCTCGTTTCACCAGGGCCTCCGTGCGCGTCCGTGCTCTCACTCCTCCCCGTGAGGTTTCGCTAAAGGACGCACAGCCGCTGCTTTTCCCGAGACACCATGTCCGGGCCACAAAGCTCTCACTGGACAGACACCGAGAGCCCTTACTTCTCCAACGACTCCTCCGGGCTCAAATGTCGGAGCTGAAGGGGAGCGTGGAAGGGAAAGGGTGTTAGCAGGCATGAGCCTGTCCCTGGCACTCCCAGCTCCTGCTCTCCTTTCCTCCTTGTGACCTTTAGGAAACATTATTCTTATGGAAAATCAAGCACAGGAGGCATCAGGAAGAGACAGGAGCCCAGATTCAAACTCCAGCACCTACATGGTCACACAGGGTGAGCAGCAGGCTTACAGTTGTTCGCTTGGAAAATACAAGAATAAACTGTCTCGCACACTCACAACTGTAAGCCTGCTTCCGCCCGGCCCGTGCTCCATACCAGGCAGGGCCCAAGCCGGGTTCTGGGCCTGGACGCGCGGGTTTCTCTCACACCAGCTTCAGCGCTGTCCGTTCACAGTGCTTCCTCCTGCTCCAGCCTGATAAGCATCGCAGAGGCGCTCCTCTAGTCCGTCACATGCTTTATCAAGTTACCAGGGAATTGGTTTCCTTGCTTTTAAAAAATGTCGTAACTTCTCTAGAACATTATGAAGCCTGTGCTACGTCCCACGTAAGTTAGCACATCTGCTGCTGCGGAGGAAACACTAGCCTGAACCCCCCGCTTCTTGGACTAGGTGTTTCTGACTCGATTCCTCAACTTGGGTGGACTTCTAGAAGCATCTTAAGTAATAAGTTTACCTCCAGTTCCCCTTGCTAATCGGCCTATTGCGTGCGTGGCTGCAAGAAAGACAAGCCCGGCTCCTTACTTCACAACGTTGCTCAACCACCCGAGTTACAAGCGGAGAGGTGCCTCAGCCTTTTGAGGGTACGTGGGAGGGGCTCATCGCCCATCACCCCTTTGTCAGGCAGTGATGCCAGGCCGGTCTCCCGGCCCAATCTCGGCAACCCGATGGCTGGTAAGTGAAAATACTGACCCTGGTGACCAAGCGAGAGAGATGCACTTCATCAGAGGAGAACCTGGGGGCTCCATGCAGCGCTGAGAACGCGACGTTCAGGGTAACGTCTGCCCCCCCACACGCCAGAGTGGAACTGGGTCGGCGAGAGCCTCACCACCCATTAGAGCAGGACTGGGCTTTTCCAAAGCACAAAGGGCTCACAAAAAACACCTCTTTCCATTTCTGTGTACAATCGCATTTTCCAATCTAACTCAGATCGGTCGGAAGGAATAATGAGATGCCAACATATTTAGTTTGCATCTAAGCTTATCCATTAAAATAGATTTATCTGCACCATTTCCCTTAAATTGCAATCGCGTCCTGGTTTTACAGCAATTTTCTGTATTTTGTGAAATTATGTTTCCGGTAGCTTATCATGCATTTGCGCTGAGGCGCTGCACTGGGTCAGAGGGTATGCGCGGCCGGCCCGGCTGTTTCTCCCGACGTGAGTCACCCTCACCTGTCCCCCACCCTCCGGGAAAGTGGGTTCATCAGGTCTGTGGTCACAGACGGAGCGTCCTGCATGTGTCGCCTGCTCAGATTCCTTTGTAAATGGGTTTCTGGCCACCCCGCTTCCTAAAATGAAGATGAAATCTGTGTGTACCTCACAGCTACTGTTGAAAGCAATTTGACAGCTTTGCTCCATCTGGAGTCGGATGAGTGACTGTTGGCTAAGGATTCTGATGCGAGGTTTGCTTCATTTTTTAGAGATTTATTTAGCATTTGGTCGTTGTCTTTCCAGCCCCGTGTCCACGTGGAAGGCATGCTTTCTGAGGAATTTACTGCAGGGCTTTTATTGCCTACCCCCAGCCTATCACCTGCTAACAACCCTATTGGCACCAAAACAAAATACACAAGCAGTCACTGCTTACTCATGTTCCATACCTGAAAAATACTATTTCATCGAGTCTTTAAAAATTACAGAGTGCATCGTTGCTGGAACCAGTCCCAACACCGACACTGCACGTGAGTCCGGGGAGGGGTCCCAGCTCCCCCCGCTCCGGCAGCAGCGGGGAGTGTCCCGGAGCCTCCTGGACGTGCAAGCAGCCTCGTCCCTGAGCAGGAGCCGGCTCTCTCCACGGGATGCAATGCCCGGCATCCACGAGGTTTCAAACCACGTCGTGAACCCCGTCAACAGGCTCACAATCCTCCGTGGTCGCACATTCAGGTTGTGTGTTTTCTCACATCTTAAATGTCTCAATGACCTGATCGTGTGGCACTGACATCGAGAAGAGAAACATCTTTTGGGAGATCCGACCCCACTCCTTCCAGAAGGCTGGGTGCACCACCCTCTCCTACCAGGTGTGGCCATGGCCCACACTCCAAATCCTACTGTGAACTCCCAACAGTAGCACACTTTTCTGGTGCTTTAATAATTTCTAGTGTTTAATTTCCCATTTTGATGCTTTTGGCTCCATGTTGAAAGGTGAATGACTGGCAGGAAAGACAGCGAAAAGATCAATGACTGGCAGTCAACATATTTCCGTTTACAGTAAACAAAAGGTACACAGCCCAACGTCCTGCCTAACTACACGCCCCAGACGGACTCCGTGAGGCGATCCCCACGACAGAGTCCGAGGGGCCGTGTCAGGGAAGACGCTGCCGATGCCACTAACATGGGACACGGTAAAAACTGAGGCTACAGGAGAGAATGCTGCACAAGCACCGGGAGGAACTGTTCCCGGCGCTTCCCCAAACGGGCGGAAGCAGCCATTCCCTTTCCTTCCTCTGCTCACCTCCACTGTGTCGCCTTCCACCATGAACACGCATTACGTGTACAGCAGAACGCGCCATCACAGAAAGCTGCACACACTTACTTCTGAAAGATGCCACTTCTCCAGGCTGCCACCTAGCGTCAAATATGTATTGTTGGACACCTGCCCCTTAGGAAGCCATTCCCCTTCAGTCCTGTGGCACGCCTGCTCTTAGACCACACTCTGCTCTTCCTGAACATGTTTCATTAGCTGGTCCTGCTAAGAGAAGAAAACAGTAAGAGCGCACAAACCGAAGTAAAAACTGGCACTGTCCCTCCAGTGTTCGGTGAGATCTTACATCTTTTTTTTTAAAAAATATATATATATTTTATTGAGTTTTTACAGAGAGGAAGGGAGCGAGATAGAGAGCCAGAAACATCGATGAGAGAGAAACACCGATCAGCTGCCTCCTGCACATCTCCCACTGGGGATGTACCCGCAACCCAGGTACATGCCCTTGACCGGAATCGAACCTGGGACCCTTCAGTCCACAGACTGACGCTCTCTATCCACTGAGCCAAACCGGTTTTGGCGAGATCTTACATCTTAAACAACAGTGAGTGAGCCATGCTCTGTCTCGAACGTAAACCACAGACTAGCAATAAAAGACACGTGTAAATCACACAGCCTGGTTTACAAGAACTCAGAGCTCAATCTGGGCTCACTATTCATCCCATTGCACATCTTAAAAAGAAGGACATTAGAAACCAGACAAGATCCCTTGCGTGGGGTATGACTAGGTGTACACATCAGGGAACTGGAAGAAAATCAAGCTACTAGCCACACAGGCTGTCAATTGCAATTGCTCCACCTGCGGTTCTGGATTCAGGACACACACTTCCAGGACCACGGATGAAGCCCCAGGTTCCCGAGCTCCAGGCCGGGAAAGGCTGTGCCACACTCTTTAACTCTAAGGGTCCTGCTTACTTCCCACAACCGAAGGTTCTGTTCCAGTTTTCATAAAGCTCTAGGTCTGTGGGAGACACGCTGGGCCGCACAGTTCTGAAGGCATTGTCGAAGTCCACGTAAGCTATGGGCGGGACCTGGTCCGCCGTGATGGTGGCGATGTCGGCGGCCTGCAAGCTGCGAATGGGGCCGAGGGATGCCTCTCGGCACAGCTGCGTCATGTCGGCGCCCGAGAAGCCTGCCGACCGCTGCACCACCAGCTCGATCTCCTCCTCGCGGAGGCTGCACTGCTCCCTGGACATCAGGCGTGTCACTATCTGCTTCCGGGCTGAGGCCTCCGGGAGGGGGATGTAGAGCCTTTTCACCAACCTCCTGCGGGCGGCCTCGTCGATTTCCTGAGGCCGATTGGTTGCTCCCACGACTAGAATGCGATCTTCAGAAGACGTGGTGGCTCCGTCCAGCTGAACCAGGAACTCGGTCTTGATCCTCCTAGAAGACTCGTGCTCCCCATCTGCCCGCTGGGATAACAGGGAGTCGATTTCATCAATGAATATCACAGCGGGCTGCTGGCACCGCGCCACCGCGAACAGCGCGCGGACCATCTTCTCCCCCTCGCCCACCCACTTGGAGGTCAAGGAGGAGGCCGAGATACTGAAGAAGGTGGCCCCAGACTGACTGGCGATGCACTTGCCGATCAGGGTTTTCCCAGTCCCAGGAGGCCCGAAGAGCAGAATCCCCTTGGGCGGGCCCCGCAAGCCCGTGAAGATGTCAGGCCGCATCATGGGCCACACGACGATCTCCTTTATGGTGGCCTTGGCGAACTCCACCCCCGCGATGTCGTCCCAGGTCACGGGGGGCCCATGGTCCATAATCTCACTCATAATCAGTTCGATCATCTTGGGCTCCAAGCTCTTCAAACGCTCGTCCACGGGGGGCGCTGGCTCTGCGGGCCCGGCACTGTCAGGCTTGTGCTGCACCCCACCATGCGCATCCCCGCCATCTGGCTTAGGCACAGGAGGGACAAACTTCCCAAAAATTCCTCGGGATCGACTGGCGCCCAGGGACTTCTTGACGCCGCTGCCGCCATAGGAAGGTGCTGCCACCCGGGCAGGCGGGTGGTGCTTTTTCTGCTGCTCCACCCATAGCTGCTCCTTCGCGGTTTTAAAGGTTGGCAGGCCGCCTTCCTCCCGGTGGCCGTTCCCCTCCGTGTTCCTAAGAGCCTCACTCAGGGTCGGGGCAGAAAGGGCTTCGGCGGGGCCGGAGCCGTAGAAAGCGCTCCTGTCCCAGGGGCCTTCCCCGCCGGCAGGAGAGCGAGGCTGACGGGGTAAGAACAGACTCAGTCCCGGGCTGGCTTTTGGAGCACTGCTATTGTCCTTCCTGACATTTCCAAATAGCGGGGTGGCTAAGTCACCAAAAGGTGCTGAGAACATGGGACACGTCTTGGGGGTGTTAGTCGCCACAGGGGGCTGGGCACTCAGAGGGCCCGAGGGGCCGCTCTCTGGGATGTCCGGGGTCCAGCCTGTACCGTGAGCTGGCTTAGTCAGTGGGTCGCTCTCCCGAGAACCACCACAAACACTAGACTTCGGAGGGTCGGGAACCACGGCCCCTCCATGGATCACGACGGAAGCATCAGCAGGGGCCAGCAGGGAGCCTCGGAGCTTCTCGCCAGCCCGCATCATCTCCTGCACACTGCGCATCTGGAAGACATTACTCAGCGACAGTCCCGACTGCCACTGGTCACTGTCCGTCCGCTGCGCTCTTGCTACCGTTAAAACGTTTTCCGCATAGTTATTCAAGCCGGTTTCCACGTTGTCAGAATCAACGATTGCCGAGTATTTCTCTGCATATTTCTTGAACAGTCTGGAAGCACAGACCTGGGAGATCTCGGAGTTGGCCCACGCATACTGAACGCGCAGCACCTGCGCCCGGTAGGCCTCTGCCTTCTGCACGGCCGTGCACGTGCCAGACGTAACTGCAAAGTAGTTCTTCTGCCATTCGCTCAGGTGCACAGCCCGGGAGCTCGGGGCCTGCATTTTACAGGTCCTACAACAGAGACAAAGTGAAGCGTCAGGAGTGACTAAAGGAGGCGCAGGGAGATGTTTAAATCTCCGCTCACCTGAAAGAAGGGACACGGGACCTTTCATTTATACGGTAAATCTCCAGCATTTAAGATATGAAGACCTGACTTACTAATGCTGCTGACGTATTTTAGTAATAACTTTCCGCACAAATAGGGAAAGCATTCATAAGGAAAGGATTTAAAATTAATCCGCAAAAGGAAGGCGCCACGGAAGGAGCTACAGACAAACAGCAAAACAAACCACCCCTGGGGTGGAAGTCGTCGCCAAGGAAAAATCACAGGAATGATCTCGAGCCTCTTACTACCGCCGAGCCTTAGGGTCCATCTGTAAAGTGAGAGAAATCACTGAGCGCCAAGTCACCCCTCGAACATAAAAATGCCCTGAAGCTGTCACCAGCCCTCCGGCACACGTAGTCGCCGGGGCTGGGATGTGAAGGAGCCCCCTGAGACCAGAGCGTCAGCACTGGGGCCGGAACCCCACGAGAGCGCTCACTCCACGCAGCGCCCGTCGGGTCCCGTGTGCCAATGCCCAAGGGCAGAGCGGCTAGGTCAGGGATAGGAACTGCTGGCTCACTGCGTGTCATAAGGCCGCATTCGGGAATGAGCACTTCACACACGCACCCGAGGTGCGGAGGCTCTCACCGGTCCCGATTTCACCTGAGGCAGTAAGAAGCGCAACCTTCGTGGTACAGCAGGCATGAGAAGCGACACCATCTGCTGTAAAGTGCTTAGATTTTAGATTCCTCCCCTCAGGTTATCCTTATCAGCCTCCATGCATTAAGGTAAAATTATTGTAATACAATTACAGATGAACGTAGCCTGTGGCTGGATGTGGAACTTACCTGCCAACCCAAGGAAAATGTGTAAGCAGCTTTGAAGTCTCCTAACAGCACTGCATAAAGGAAAAACCAAGAACCTGTGTATTTTGAAATTTACCGTCTGAGCTACTTGTGAATTCAGCTTAAGGATCACGTTTTATAGTTGTGCATCTCCCATAATGCCTTACAAAGAACCTGTTGCACTGTAGACAGGTGTTCGTGATCTTCGCTAAGAGCAGTAAACGTAAGCCCTGGCTGGTGTGGCTCAGTGACAGAGCACCAGCCTGCACACCAGAGGGCTGCGAGTTCGACTCCCGGGCCAGGGCACGCACCTGGGCTGCAAGCTTGTTTCCCGCCCCGGGGCCCCAGCCCAGGCCAGGGTGCATGCCGGAGGCAACCAATGGATCTCTCTCTCCCTCCCACCTTTCCACTCTCTCTAAAAATCAACGGGGGAAAATATCCTCTGGTGAGGATTAAAAATAAAAATAAACTTACGACTCAAGGAGATTCTAATTTGCTTAAAGCTGTAAGGGTAGAGTCAAAACGAGAACGGACATGTCCCGGCCATCCCGGGTCCCACACCGTTGAACTTATTTTAATCTCTTTTGTGCAGCACTGGGAATGGGAGACTGAAGGAGAGGTGAGTTGGCGCAGGTTTAGCACAAACCCCTCTTGCTGGGGACAGCCCTGCCACCTGCAGCCCGGGGACTCCGCACAGCCGGTGCCCGCTGCGCCCGCACCCTTTTCCGCTCCGCACCCCGAGCTCCCAGCATTCACCGCGGAGTCCCACTTCTTCCTTGGAACTCGGTGGCTCGTCCAACACCGCGGACACGGCGGGCACAGCTGCGGGCGGCACTGCTCGCTGGCTCGGCCACTGTCCGTTCCCACGGATTCCGGGTCCGGCATCCTTCCGGCGTCCCCGGACCTAACACTGACGCTCGCTCAGCGCTCATGGGCACCGCGTGCCCCTTTCCCCCCTGGAAGCGTCTCTAGGCCAGTGGTCGGCAAACTTATCAGCCAACAGAGCCGAATACCAACAGGACAACGAGTGACATTTCTTTTGAGGCCACATTTTTTTAAACGTAAACTATATCGGTAGGTACATTGTTATTAACTTAATCAGGGTGCTCCTAAGCTGGCCTTTGCCCAAAACGCCCCCAATCTGATGGAGGTCCTTCGCTGAGGTCGGCCCTTCCAGCTCTCCCGTCCACACTCGCCTTGTGTACTTGTCTCGGCTCCTTTGTCCATCCTCTGTGTGTCCACACCATCTCAGCGTACCTTTCTCCATCCTCCACACACTATCTCTCACTCCACAATATTCCCTAAAATTAGCTTAACAAACTTTAAAGTTTTAAGTCTTAGTTGAACTATAGGTACGTTGAATAAAACTTGATATCATACTTAATAACGACATTACTTACTGATAAAATTAAATTCCTTACGATCTACCTTACAATATCCATAAAATTAAATCACGACAATGCCTGGCCCAGGACGAAAACTGACTTCTGCGCATGGGCCACGAAGTTCCAATCGCACTATACGTGCACACACGTGGTATTCTATGTTAGAGCCACACTCAAGGGGCCCAAGAGCCGCATGTGGCTGCGAGCCGCGGTTTGCCGACCACGGCCCTAAGGTAAGGTGTGCTCTCGCTGCAGGGGCCTCCGCAGGTCAGACCTGCCCCTGCCGGCTCCCCGCCTCCGGGGTGGGCACTCGGGCCGGGAGCTGTGCAGGCAGGTGCGGACCCTGCAGAACCCTCCAGACCCGGAGCCAGCACGCGGGGCAGCGCGCCAGGACGTGGCCTTGCTGTGAGCGCAGCATCCGGT